GCTCCATCAGGGACTCTCTGTTGTGTTCCCTGTCAGGGCGGTCATTGGTGGTAGCTGGGCACCATCTAGTTCTTCTGGTCTCAGGCTGATGAAGTCTCTGGGGACAGCCCCTTTCTAAACACTCACACCTACAGTGAAACCTCAAACCCTAGAGGATTTCATGAACTCAGGGAAATTTATTTCGGGGACCTGCTGCACCCCAGAAGGATCAGGACACACAAGTGTGACAGGAAGGACAAGGCAGACACTGAAAGGGACGACCGCAGGGGAGAGACTGAAACACAGAGGGGCCCTCGGGTGAACTGAAGAGGCTCTAGCCTATTTCTGCAAAATCCGCCCCCATGGTGTCCCTGCTGCGAGCGAAACACGGAGCAAAGGCTGCCAGGAAAGCTACACCTCCAGAGATGCGGTGCCACCGAACGGAGGGGATTCAAAGAATTAGCGCAAAGTACTTCTATTTTGTTTCATGATTAGCTCTTAGGTTTTGGTCTTTTTTAAATGGATTCCTGGTTTTCAGTTTCTTTAGTCAATCAGGGAGTCCCTGGGTGGTGCAAACGGTTAACACACTCACTGCTAACTAAAGGTTGGAAGCCTGAGTCCACCGCCAGAGGTGTAGCTAAGGTATGACGGGTAAGGCAAGTGCCCTGGGCGTGGCTTGAGGGCATGCACACCGATGAGCACGGTTTCTATTGGCCATCACAGTTTCTATTGAGAGCTGTGAGAGATTATTCAGCAATTGAAAACTAATCGCATAGGCGCTATTTTCCATAGATGTGCGGCTGGTCCACCCAGAGGCGTCTTGGAGGAAAGGCCTGGCAATCTACCTCCAAAAATGTAGCTATTGAAAACCCTATGGAGCACAGTTCTACTCTGACACACACGGGGTCGCCCTGAGTCAGTCGACTCGATGGCAACTGGTTTACTGGTTACTAGTTAGTCAATAAGAACAGCTGTGGGGGGTGCAGGATGTTTGGGTGATGACTTCCATCTCTTCTGCCCAACTGTCTCCCCAAACTGTCCACAAAAGGAGAACTTGGGGTGCTCGATGTTAACAACCTTAACGAGACGTTGACCCTGTGGCATTAACCAGCAACCGCTGAGGAACCAGCTGTGAGTGAGCCGTCTCACAGGCAGGCCTGACCCGGCCAGTCGCATAAACAGGGCTGCTCACCCACCTGCCAGATGGGCTCGAGAGCTAAAGCTCTGTTCACCATCAGGTCACTTTACTCGGTTACAGCAAAGCTCAGGCGATGAAATTTCCAAAGGCCTTTGCTTTCACTGTGGCCGAGGCCCACCCCACCCACCCACCTTCCCAGCTGCTCTCGGCTGCCCGCCTCCCTGCACTCACCGATGGCCTTACAGGCCTTGGTGTGGGGCTCGATCTGGAAGCCGTTGTGACACTCGCACTTGTAGCTCCCCTCAAGGTTCATGCAGATCTGGCTGCAGGTGTCGGGGTCCTGACACTCGTCAATATCTGCAAGTCAAGACCCAGAGAAAGATTTATTTTGGGCATCTCCAGGCCTATGCTAAACGTTCCACACACTGGACGTCTCATTACATCCTCCTGACAGCCCTGTGAGCGGAGATCCTGTCACCTCACTTTATAGAGAAGGAAGCCGAGGCTTCCCACGTTGGAAAAGGCAGAGCAGGCCCTGAGCCCGGCCTGCTGGGAATCACCTTCACATCTTCTCTGGTCCACCAGCCGGAAGCCCTCGGGGCAGAGGCACTCGTAGCCGATCTTGAGGTCATTGCAGATGTGGGAGCAGCCTCCTTTGTTGTCCAGACACTCGTTGGTACCTGAGGTGGATGCGGGACACTCTGGTCATGCTTAGGCCTTCAGCCCTCCCTTTCCCTGCCACTCTGTGATTGCAACATCTTTATCATGATCAGAGTCCCTGGGTGGTACAAACGTGCTCGGCTGCTAACCAAGAGGTTGGCAGTTCAAGTCCACCTTGGAAGAAGAGCCTGGCAAACTGCTTCTGAAAACTCAGCCATTGAAAGCCCTACAGAGTACAGTTCTACTGGGACACACATGGGGTCACCATGAGTCGGAATCAACTTGACAGCAACTGGTTGTCTGTCTGTTCGTTTTTTTTTTAAACCACAGTCACAACAATGATTTAGGGGTCAATGGAACCATATGACCCCTAACGAAAACAACAACAAAAAAAAGCTATTGCTGCCGAGTTGATTCTGACTCATAGCGACCCGACAGGACAGAGTAGAACTGCCCCATAGGATTTTCAAGGCTGTAAATCTTTACAGAAACAGACTGCCACATCCTTCTTCCCTGGAGCAGCTGGTGGGTTCGAACCACCGACTTTTTGGTTGACAGTCGAATGCTTTAACCACTGCGCAACCAGGGCTCCACTCTATACTATACAGCTCTTCCTAATAGGATCTTTCAGTATCAACCATACAGAAGGTCAGGTACCTATCATAAAACTACCACATCTTAATTTAAAATAACAAAATTCTCAAGAGAGAAGCAGGCTTCCAAGGCAAAGAATTCACATTTTTTAGAATTCATGTTTGAAGAGGAAGTCTCCCAAAAATACTTGTTAGTGCTTACAGCTACAGTTTGTAGAGCACTTACTACCAGCTAGGTGCTGCGGAATACTTTACAAGCATCTCATCATCCCAACAGCCCTAAGGACCTGGGAGCAATTATTGTCCCGTCTGACGGATGTGAAAACTGAGGCTCAGAAGTGAAGTCATTTGTCCCCATCCCCCAACTCCATCTGGCCCCAGAGCCAAAGCTCCCGCAGGCCACAGGTGTGTGGAGCCCTTTCTAAGCACCACCCAGCTCTCGTGGGGGAGAGGGGGCTGAAGCCTCCCACTTCACGACTTCCGTGGCCCACTTGCACCCTGGGGCTCACCACACTCCTTGAGGGGCTCGTCCGACCAGTCCCGGCAGTCCCTGACTGAGTTGCACACTTTGTCCAGAGTGATGCATTCACCACTGTGGCACTTGAACTTGTTGGGGCCCTCACACAGCGTCACTAGAAAAGCCAGAGACAGGAGAGTCAGGTGCTTCTGGGTGCAGGAAACTGCTTAGAAGTCTTTATGTGATGGTTAATTCATCCAAGAATAGATGTAAATATATTCATTAATAAAACACAATGATTGAGCCCCCGTGAACCACCACCTAGCTTAAGAATTCGAATGTTACCTAAAGCAGGGTTCAGCAGACTTCGGCCTAAGGGCCGAATCAGTTCATTTAAATAAGTTTTATTAGAACACAGTCAGAGTTGAGTAGTTCTGAAAACATCTATTCTCTGGCCCTTTACAGAAAAGACTTGCCAGCCCCTGATGGAGACTGCTATGGCAGTCTTTCCCCATCCCATCCTGCTAAGACCCATAAACCAAAAAAACCAAACCCGTTGCCTTTGAGCCGATTCTGACTCCTAGCGACCCTACAGGACAGAGTAGAACTGCACCAGGGGGTTTCCAAGGAGCAGCTGGTGGATTACGAACTGCCGTAGCTCTTAACCACTGCGCCACCAGGGCTCCAACTACTGTTTAGAATTAATTCTACTGGGGTCGAACCCCTGGGTTGCTTCCGTTTTTGCTATTACGATGGTGTTGCTGGGATCATTTCAGAGCGTGGCTCCCGGTGCGTGGGCCAGCTTCTCCAGAGAACATTCTGAAGTGTGGAATTCCGCCCGTAATTGTGAGCGCTGTGCCCACTGGCCTTATTAAATCTCCCCACCTCCAAGTAGGTGCTTTTATTATGCACAGTTTCAGATAAGGGGAAGTGAGGCTCAAGGGAAGGTCAAGTAACTTGCCCAAGGACCTGTAACTGGTGGGGGCCGGAGCAGGAGTCCCGAGCCCAGGCCCACACCTGAATTCACCAACACCATCCTCCCTAACACCCCCCGATTTTGCAGAGTGCTTCACAGACAGCAAGGCACTGAACACTGGGGGCCAGGAGACAAGGTGGCAGCGCTGCTGTGCCTGTCCCCAGCCCAGGAGCAAAAGCCCCTGCTGGCAGAGCTCACCACTGATGCAGCCGAGCTCGTCGCTTAGGTCCTTGCAGTCGTACTCCTTGTCACACTGCCGGCTGCCATGGATGCAGGTCCCGTCCCCGCACTGGAACTCATCAGGCCGGCACGTGGCCACAGCTGGAAAAGACAGGGGGTTAACTCTCTCGGGGAGAGGCAATAAGGGAAAAATCACCTCCACTCCAAAGCTGCCATTGCCTGACAGGCCAAAGGGAACCCGCTGCCTCAGCCCTCTGAGCAGCTGTGTGGGCGGGGTCTTCAGAGATGAAAAGGCGAAGCCTCATTAACCAGCAGAAGAAAACGGCTCATCTTCCAGCTCCAAGAAAGAAGAGACCCAGGAAAAGCAGGTCAAAATGCGGTCTACCTGCCCGCCACCTGTCTTCATATTCTAATTGCTACCCAATGTAGATTTCAGAAGATTTTTTTTTTTTTTACAGCAGTATTTTCTTCCTCAATGAAAAAGAATCAAGGAAAATTACTATTAAAGTAACACAACAAAGTCTGGAAAATAGGAAGGGGGGAAAAAAAATCACCCCAAATCCTAACTCCCTAATATAACCATTAAGGTTTTCTTAGATTTCCCTCCAGTCCTTCCTCACATGCGTTTGTCAGGACACAGAATTCATAAGAAAGCCGACAGACCCAACGGGCCGAGCAGACGGAGGCAGACAGGAACGGCTGCCACCAGAGGTAGAGAGGGGCCCAGGAAATGTGGGCAAAACACACCGTGACCATGAGCACAGTACAGCTGTTGAAATAACCAACCGTGAACATGAAAAATGCTTGCGTGAGGATGCTAAGTGAAAAAAGTAAGCCTTAAAATCAGAATTCAGTGGACACGCGTGATGGCTGGCTGCATTCTATAACTTGACCTCATACAGGTTTGCTTTCCCTGCTAACACATTAGGCTGTGTATTTGTGCTTTACACACTTTTCTGTGTTATAGTTCACGATAAAAATCTTGCCAATTAAAAAAATTAGACTCAGGATGTCAGTGAAGAGATCATAAAATCGTGGACAGAATGATCCCTCTTTAACCTAGCTGTTTGTCTTTTCATTGAACAAGAACAACCGAACGTAACTCTACCAAAACGTGAATCTGTGACGGCTAAAATGGTAGAATGACAGGGATTTTAGTTTTCACAGGTGTGTGTCCTCAGAAAAGTCACTCAGCATTTCTGTGCCTCAGTTTCCTCATCTGTAAAGTTGGGAAAACTTGCCTCACAGGTATGGAAGTCAAATGACTTTGTGTTACGTTTTAGAACAGATCACATACAAAGTCACCAACAGTTTTATAAAATGTGACTTTAAAACAAGTTTGTTGTTATTGTTGTGTGCTGTCAAGTTGATTCTGACTCCCAGCGACTCTAAAGGATGGAGTAGAACTGCCCCGTAGGTTTTCCAAAGCTATAATCTTTACAGAAGCAGACTGTCACATCTTTCTCCCATGGAGCGGCTGGTGGGTTTGAACTGCTGACCTTTGATTAGCAGCTGAGTGCTTAACCACTGCGCCAAACCAGGGCTCCTCAAAACAAGTTTAGATCTACACAATGATTACGACTACGTGAAAATTGATTGCATTTGGGTCAAGACGTAAAAAAAGAAAAGGAAAATGAAAACATGTTCTGGATTCGCAGCGTTTCTAACATGATAAAACCAATTGCCATTGAGTCCATTTGGACTCATGGCGACCCCACGTGTGTCAAAGTAGAAATGTGCTCCACAGGTTTTCATTGGCAAATTTTTCTTCCAAGGCACCTGTCTGTGGACTCAAACCTCCAACCTTTCGATTAGCGGCCGAGCACGTTAACAGTTTACACCACCCAGGGACTCTTTCTATCATGATTGTTGGTAGTCGCTGTTGAGTTGTCTTGACTCACGGCGACCCCATGTGTGCAGAGTAGAACTGCTCCATAGGGTTTTCAAGGCTGTGATCTTTCAGAAGCTGATCACCAGGCCTGTCTTCCAAGGTGCCTCTGAGTGGGTTCAAACTGCCCACCTTTCAGCTAGTAGTGAAGCGCTTAACCCTTTGCACCCCCCAGGGACTCCATTCTAACACACTAACAATCCCCATTTAAAGAGCACTGACAGAGGAGCAGATATAGCGCCACATTCTTTATCTGCACTGTCTCCAGCTCAGGAGCCACTAACCATGTGGCTATTAAACTTTAAATTAATTAAAATTAAATAAAATTAAAAATTCACTAGCCATGTTTAAGCGCCCGATAGCCACATGGGGCTAGTAGCTATTGTGTTGGGCAGTGTTGATAGAGAAGATTTCTACCATCACAGAAATTTGTCTTGGACAGAGCTGGACTCTAAACACAACCCACGCAGGTCACTGCTCTTACCCCATTCTATCGAGGGGTGGGGAAGACCACGACACAGTGAGGTTGAGTTCTTGGCCAAGGGTCACTCAGCTCAGACACCTCTAGCCCAGGCCTGGGACCCAGGATCCTTCCTGGGCTGATAATACTGCAGCATGCGGCTTCCTCCCCTAATCAAGAGACCGACTAGGTGTAAAAGACAGTCTCTTATGGGGGCTACCGTCTCCCTAATGTGGTCAGAAAAATGGGAAGAAAATGAAGTGGGGCCAGCTTCCTTGCTGCGTGGTTGGAAATCACTGAACCACTTCAAGCCACTGCCTGTCCCACAGCAGGGAGCCCAGCCGTACCACAGTCCTCCTCGTCCGACTTGTCCCTGCAGTCAGGGTCACCATCGCAGCGCCAGCTGCTGTGGATGCACTCGCCGCTGAGGCAGTGGAACTCGAGGGCGGAGCAGGGGCCACTGTCCCCTTGTGGGGCGGACGTGTTGCGGCCCCCACAGCGCTGCGGCCACTCGTCGGAGTGGTCCTCGCAGTCAGGGTCTCCGTCGCAGGCCCACAGCTCAGGGATGCAGGTGGAGATGTTGCACTGAAAGTAGGCAGGGCTGCAGGTGGTCACAGGGCAGGCATCCTCGTCTGAGCCATCCAGGCAGTCCCGGTCCGAGTCACAGACAAACACCTGTGAGATGCACTTGCCGTCACGGCAGCGGAACTCGTCCTGCGAGCATGTCTTGGGGGCTGTGAGGTGGATGGGAGAAGAAAACCCAGTCACCGTGGAGTCCCCAACACCAGCTCCTTCCACAGATGGGGAAACTGTGCTGTGGAGAGGTCAGACCCCGGCCAGCATGCTTGTGGAGAAGCGTGCAGGGCAGTCGTCAGGGCCCTGGAGTCTGAACCAATTGCCTGGGTCACACCAGCCCTACCCTTATTCAAATTGGGCAAGTCACTGTTCCTCTCTGTGCCTCAGTTTCCTCATCTGTACATGCCTTTTGGGGATTGTTGTGACAACTAGTGGGTTAATACGTTTGAAGCTCGTAAGCGGGGGCCCAGCACACAGGAAGTGCTGCTGAAGGCTTTGCTGTCAATTGTTCTTAAAACAGCCAAGACCGACACCCAGCTCCAAAGTGCCTTCGCATTCAGGAATCTTGGCCTTATTTCTTTTTTAATTATGGTTAAAATAGATACAACAAAACATTTTTTATGTGTACAGTTCAACGACATTAATTATACTCACCATGATGTGCAACCAACACCACAAGCCCTTTCCAAATGTTTTCATTGCTCTTAACAGATGCTCATTCCTCCCTCCTTCCACCCCTGGTAACCACTAATAACCTTTGGTCTCTGTGCGTTTTTGGCCTTATTGCTTAATAGAACCTCAGCTCTGTTACGCTCTTACTCTCTCACTGGTTAGTTGGAGGACTGAGTCTCAGCCAACAAGCACCCACTATGTGCTTAACCTCCCAGGGAAAAGGCAAGGAGAGGTGGCCCTCAACGAGTGCTCCATGACCCTAAGCGGAAGCACCATCACATTCTTGCCTTCTGGTCAAGGTGGGATTTGAGGGGTGGGAGGGTCTTGGTATGAGCCCTTAAGAGACAAAGCCTAGCCCAGGGTGGCCAGCACAGAGCGCAGGCAGGGCGAAATGGTGTGTGCATCACTCCCTGGAAGCCCGGTATGCTCCTGGGTGAAGGCTGGGCTGGGCCACTGATAGGGCCCTGGGATCACACTCACCACAGTCTTGCTCGTCGGAGCCATTCTCGCAGTCCACTTGGCCATCACATCTCCAGAACTGAGAAATGCAGCGGTTGACCCGTCCCCCACAGCTGAATTCCCCAGACTTGCAGGTGACAGACACTATGGAAGAAATGAGGTTGAACTGTAACGCAAAGGGAAGACTAGTCCACTTCATCAGTCCTATCTTTGCAAAGGAAGAACCCATAGTCTTCAGAGAGAGGGTGTAAATCCCACCTTTGTGGGTTGAAAGCAGGGCGTTTAATGGAGCTTGCTAGGAATGAGTGGTTAAAGGACCAGTTGCCATCAGGCTGACCCTGATTCATGGCAACCCGATGTGTGTTAGAGTACAACTGTGTGCCACAGGGTTTTCAATGGCTTATTTTTCAGAAGTAGATCCCCATGCCTTTCTTCTAAGGTGCTCTGGGTGGACTCGAACCTCCAACCTTTCGGTTAGCAGCCAAATGTGTTAACTGTTTGTACCCCCCAGGGACTCCTGTTAAAGGACAACCAATCCGCTGCCGTTGAGTCAATTCTGACTCATAGAGACCCTACGGGACAGAGTAGAACTGACCCATAGGGTTTCCAAGGAGCAGCTGGTAGATTCGAATTGCTGACCTTCTGGTTAGCAGCCGAGCTCTCAACCACTGCGCCACCAGGGCTCCTGTTAAAGGACAGTCCCAGTAAAATCTTCTCTCCCTGCCTCCCAATTCCTGGTGAACGACATTAATCTGCTGGCCACTTTTTCACCTTATCTCCCACCCGCCATCATCACAAAGGGTCAGGAGCTACACCACGCTCAGAGGGGACTCACAGCATGTCTCCTGGAACTCATCAGAGCCGTCCTGGCACTCGGCGCTTCCGTCGCAAACCCACTTGTAGGAGATACATCTCCCATCTTGGCACTGGAACTCATTCCTCCCACACTTGTCTCCTGCTGAGAGAGAAGAAAAGGGGAATGAAGGCTCCTCAGTGCCAGGTCAGACACTGAACAAGTGACCTGTCTATTTCCTACCAACTGAAAAATAAGCCAGAAATATAATCCTATCAACAACATAGTCCGACTCCCAGGAAATTAAATACACACAACAAATTAAATTTCATGAACCCAAGGTATCGTGGAGGATGCAAAATAAGAGTCCAACAAATAAGTAAGTCCAAATTATCAACAATTTTAAAGTTTTGATGGTTGTTGAGTCCAAAGTATGGATCTACTGAGGCATGGGAACAAAATATTAGAACTTCCATGCACAGCTATTTAGCCTTGAGGCTGCCTAAAGACGTTTCCCAGTATGTTAGTAAGACCTTCATTTGGAAATGGTTAGTGGTGATGGTTGCACAACATGATGAATATAATTAATGTCAATGAATTGTACATGGAAAAAATGTTGAAATGGCAAGTGTTTTGTTATATATATGTATTTAACCACAATAAAAGAAAAGAACAAGACCTCAAAGTTTCAGGTGGGCAAATGACCCAAATTAGGTCGGTAACTTCCCAGCCGCCTGTGCAGCTAGCTATGGCCATGTGACTAAGCTTAAGCCAATGGGATGTGAGTGGATGTGACGTGTGCAAATTCTAGGTCATGGCCTTAAAGGAAAGGGTGGAAAAATTGACAATTTGCTCATTTTCATTGTACTGCAACATTGTGTCATTTGCCTCTGCCTAGTTTAATGGATTTATGAGTTACCTTTAACCAACTCGCATAAAAAAAGAGAAGTGACATAACAAGAAAACTAGAGGTTGAATTTTGCCCTAACTGTATATTGTGAGTTGAGATATTAACGGATTATAATATGAACAAGACATTTAAAAATGTTATGTATTTAATTTGTATCTATTATCATCTTTTTTTTAACATTTTGGCTTTTGTATTAGTTATCTTTTGTAATGAACATAATATATTAGTACAGGTACATAAAAAATAAATATATTGGGGAGGGCATGTTCAAAATTTTTTTTTTTTTTTTTTTTTTTTTACCAAGGCGGGGTGGTGCATGATTTAAAAAGTTTGAAACCAGCTGGTTAGGATTATGATCAAAAGACTGTAGGGCCAAGTGCAACAACATGGTGTATTGGATTTGGATCCTGGAACAGGAAAACGATGTTGGAGGAAAAATAGGGGAAATCCAAATAAAAGTGTAGAGGTGATAGTAATATGCTGACATTAATCTCTTAGTTTTGACCAATGTGTCATAGTCATATATAACATTGACATTAGGGGAAATTGGATGAGGGGTTTATGAGAACTCTCTGTATATCTCTGCAACTTGTCTGTAAATCTAATGGTATTCCAGGAAAACACACGGGGTCTCCATCAGGTTAGAATTGATTCCATAGCAACAGGTTTTAATGTCCTTACAAAATAAACAGTTTATTGGGGGAAAAAGTCCTTGAGGCAAAAGATTACATAAAGTAGAACAATTCCACCCTTAAAAATTAACAGTGAGGGTGAATAAAAATTTATGGAGCATTTGGAGGGTAGGAGACTTGTGAAAGTAAGACCATGAGTTCCATGATAAAGGAAGAGTCGTGAGCTTCCAGGTTACCCCACCCGTTGCCAAAGCCGAAGAACTGTGGGCTCCACGGAAGTTAACACCAAGAGAGACGGCCCAGAAAGCAGATCACAGGCAGGAGGCAGGAGGAAGAGCGTGCCTAGAAATTTCCCTCCCAGGCTCATGAATCTATGGCCAACGCTCCCTCTTCCCATCCCATTTCCTGTCATACCTACGAGGTGCAGACACCTGTTTTCTCTGTAAATTGCTGCCCTGAAAACTCAACAAGTGAGGAAGAGAGAGATGCCCTTGAGGTCACAAGACGTCACCAACCATCCCTCAACCCTCAGCAGTGAGGAAGTGGCATTCTCCTTTCGCAGAATCGTTATGTGACACTCTTCACCTTGACACACAGCCTGCCTCCAGGATGGATCCTCCATGAGGGATCACAACCTCAGACCCCACATACCTGCAGTTCCCTCTGCCTGCAATGTTCCCTTCCCGGTCCCCACCCCTTTGTTTGGCTAACTCCTACTGGTGTTTTGTTCAACTGATGCTGACCTTCAAAAAAACTGGGTTAGGTGTCCCATGAGCTCCTAAAATACCATTTTCTCATCCTATCACACTATATCAAAATTGCCTGTTGACTTGTACATCTCCCAGCTGGGACTCATGGGCCCAATGCCTAACACAGTCATAATAATTTTAATAGGTGTGCTAAAAATTAGGGCCTGGTCCATCACCAAGCCAGGCAAAGTTTTGGGGTTACGGGGAAAGGAGTGCTATTCCACACTCCATCTTTTAGGAGAATAACAGGGTAGAATCTGTCAAAATTCAAAGTGCATGGTCCCTGGGACCCAGCAGAAATACTAACACATGTGCACAACAATGTAAGTTCAAGGATCCAACGAGACCTTACTTACAATAGAGAAACCTGTGGCAGTTTAAAATAGGATCACAAATTCTGTGGTACTCCCTTCAAAAGGTGGAGCCTAATTCCCCTCTGGTGGAGTGGGCGCTGGACTTAGTGACTTGCTTCTAATAGAAAAAGGTAGAAGCCTGTGGCTTCAGAGACAAGGTCATAAAAGGCCCTGCAGCTTCCTCCCTGCTCTCTCTTGAATCACTTGCTCTGGGAAGGCCGATTGCACGTCAGGGCTGTTTCATTTTAATTCTTTACTCTTGAAATTGAAAAAAAGAAGGAAAAAACTAAGTGAGAGAATTGAAAGACCCAGTTAGGACATATCTCTGGCTTTAGCCCTGGTTACCCTGACCCTTTATTGTCGTTGTTGTTAGGTGCCATCGAGTCGGTTCTGACTCATAGCGACCCTAGATACAACAGAACGAAATACTGCCTGGTCCTGCACCATCCTCTCACAATCATTGCTATGTTCAAGCCCATTGTTGCAGCCACTGTGTCAGACCATCTCATTTACTTTGACCCTATAACTTCCCAAATGGCTTTTGTTGGAATTGGTCTTTCTAATCGGGATAGACATGGCCCAAATACCCTTAAATATCTCACCAACCTTGAACCTGAGCCTGAACCTGGGCTGAGGGCTCTGGGGGTCAGGGGGTCTGAGACCCCACTTTCTTGTACTTTATTACTATCCTCTGGTTTATAAGCTGCTCCACCATACAGATCAGTGTACTACCTTCATACAAGATGGAGGAAGGATTTGCCCACAGCCAGAGGATGCCTGGAAAAGGTAAGCGGTTTCTGATTTTCCATGACCTGATGCCAGCCATCACGGAGTGTTCTCTCTTTTTAGGACTTTGGGAAGACCTCACAAAAAGATCACCTTTCACTGTCCTGGAGTCTAGGGAGCAGAAGTAAACTATCATTTGGGCTGCTTTTCATTGTATAACGGAGCCTGGTGGCGCAGTGGTTAAAGGGCTCGCATGCTAACCAAAAAGTCGGTGGTTCAAACCTACCAGCTGCTACACAGGAGAAAAATATGGCGGTCTGCTTCTATAAAGATTACAGCCTTGGAAACCCTATAGGACAGTTCTACTCTGTCCTATGTCGCTATGCGTTGGAATCGACTCGACGGCAGGGGGTGGGAGTTCCTTGTATAAGTAATTTTTTTACAAGGCCAATTCTTTGCACAGTTTTTTAGAAATAATTTTTATTTTTGAAATTTCTTTTCATTTCTTTTTTTTTTCAGATTATATCTGAAGCCCTGGTGGCAAACTGGTTAAGAGCTCAAGCTGCTAACCAAAGGTTGGCAGTTCAAATCCAGCAGCCGCTCCTTGGAAACCCTATGGGGAAGTTCTACTCGGTCCTATAGGGTTGCTATGAGTTGGAATCAACTTGACGGCACGCAACAAAAAACGTTTATTTATTTTATCAAATATGCGTGGATGGAGCAAGAAATCTGATTTGGCATTTCTGATAAAGGGATCCATGCAAGAAAGATACGGCCGCTTATCCTGAGTGGCACAAATGTTTAAGTGCTAGACTACTAACCAAAAGATTGGTGGTTCAAACCCACCCAGAGTCACCTGGGAAGTAAGGCTTGGTGATCTACTTCTGAAACGTCACAGCTTTGAAGACCCTATGAAGCGCAGTTCTACTCCGCACATGCGGGGTTCACCGTGAGTTGGAATCGACCGGACAGCAACTAAGAACAACATCCATTCTATCCTGGTGGCTCACACAGCACTGCTGTGTAGATTCCCTGACAGGCAGTGTAGCGAGGTGGTAAACTGCTTGCTACACCAGGTTACGAGATCTGATTTAAATGGCTTTCTAGGCCATTTAACTAGAATGACTTGGGCAACTAGGCTTCAGTTTCCTCATCTCTAAAATGAGGAATGTTGTTGTGTGCTGTTGAGTTGATTCCAACTCACAGCAACCCTATAGCACAGGGTAGAACTGCCCCATAGGGTTTCTTTGGCTGTAAATCGTTTTTTTTAATAAACTCATTTTTTTCCCATACAAAAATTTATACATATTGTTATGTGACCCTAATTGCTCTCCCCATACTGTGACAGCACACCCCTCCTTCCACCCGATTCCCCATGTCCATTCAACCAGCTCCTAACCCTCTCTGCCTTCTCATCTCACCTCTGGACAGAAGCTGCCTGTTTAGTCTCTTGTATCTACTTGAGCTAACAGGCACACTCCTCATGAGTATCACTTTAGGTCCCACAGTCCAGTCCAATCCTTGACTGAAGAGTTGGCCTTGGAATTTGTTTTAGTTCTGGGCTGATAGAGAATCCGGGGGCCATGCTTTCCCGGGTTCCTCCAGTCTTAGACTATTAAGTCTGGTCTTCTTACTAGAATTTGAGTTCTGCACCCCACCTTTCTCCTGCTCCATCTGGGACTCTCTGTTGTGTTCCCTGTCAGGGCAGTCATTGGTGGTAGCCGGGCAGCATCTAGTTCTTCTGGTCTCAGGCTGATGAAGTCTCTGGTTTATGTGGCCCTTTCTGTCTCTTGGG